CCACCTCTCTAGTACAGGCCCTCAACCCCTCATGCCTTGATTACTGCAATAGCTTGCTGGTGGATCTGCCTGCCTCAAGTCTCTCCCCACTCCAATCCATTCTCCATTTAGCCACATAAATGATTTTCCTAAGGTGCAAGTCCCACCATGTCACCCTCTACTCTCAATTAGAGATTCCATGTCACCTCCAGGATCAAATATAAAATCTTTTCTACCTTTCAAATCCCTTTACAACCTTGACCCCTCCTACCTTTCCTGTCTCTTTACACCTTACTTTTCACCATGTACTTTTTGATCTAACAACCCAGGCCTCTTTGCACAAACAAGACATCTCATCTCTTGCTCTGGGCATCTCTTCCTCCTTATCTCCATTTACTGGCTTCCCTGGCTTCCTTTAAGTCCCAACTAAAATCCCGGCTCCCTGTGTCCCTCTTGATTCCAATGCCTTCCCTTTGTTAATTATTTCCTGACTACAATCCTTCCAGTAAGGTGGAGTACCATTGGCCTTATCATCTGCTCTGCCATGTTCCCTAATAACTGCCAAGTCTAATGATCCTCCCTGCCCTACAGCATTGCCCCTGAATATTGCCCTCCAACCTGCCTCTATGCTCTAACAACCCTAGGCTTCAGTGAGGGGCTTTTCTATCTGCCTTGCAACTGAATCTTCCTTTCCATGTTGTTTCTGCCAATTAGGATGTGAACTCCTTGAGAATAGGAACTATCTTGCTTTTTTACTTGTATTTAAAATGCTTAGTAGAGTCCCAGGCACATAGTAGGCACCTGATAAATGCTTTTCATTCATCTATTCATTCTGTCCCATTGAATAAATCACATTCTTATACATGGGTTGTGTAACCATTTCCCATGTCCTCCTTTCTCTTCCCATGTCCTTCCATTTGAAGAAGGGATTATAAACCACACTTTTGCCCAATGACTTTTTCAGTTTTTACACAGTATTTACACAGGATATTTACTTCAATATCCATACCCACACCTATATATCATATCATTTCCCAGAGAAGTAGATAGAGGTTGGTGGGTATAAGTCTGGGCAGGTTCTACATCATATCTCCAATATATGTTCCAGTGAGGTGGCCTAGTTATGTTATATATGTGTGTGTATATGCATATATTATATATATGCGTAGATATGTATATATAGGATATAAAAGGCAGATATATAGGAGATGTATATAGGGTAGATATGAGATGTATAGGCTATATATGATATATATGAGATATTTATATTGGAGATATATATGTGCATATATGCATCTATATCTCAAAGATACATCAGATATATATGACATAGATATAAGATATAGATATAGATGTATGTATGTATATATACTTGCCAGTGCTTATGAATTCTTGCTTCAGAATGGCCCAGAGGACGCTCCATTATTAATTTATCCTTTATGGGAAGTATCTAATATCTGTTATATAGTCTCATTGTTAACAAAGTCTTTTTCCCACCTCCTGTCATATTTTTCCATCTGCTACCTTTTCAGTATTGATTTGACCCCCCTTCCCCACATACCCATGTCCTCAGAATCTTTTTCTTCTGGATGCCTTTTGGTATTATTTCTTCTATTATGTTCATGACATTTTTATCTTAAACCAGAAAACAGGAATATTCCTCAAGTGCTTCCACTTTTTAGTTTTTTTCCCACTATTTAGTCTTACAGGGAAACCAGTTTGGATTTGTAGGCCATGATGATTAATTGCTTTTAGTTTTAGGCAGGAACACAAACATAGCTCATAGCTGTATCTCACTAGACTCATTGTTTTAGTCTAAAGTGAGGAAAACAATTAATCATTCTAATAAAAACAAGCCTTTTCATTCTTTCAATTGAAAATTCTAAATAAAATTTTAATATTTTTTCCCATAAATTAAAAAAAAACTGATTAAATTTTGCTTCTTACAGGTAAATAGCTTATAGTCCTAAGAATTTTTGAAACCAAGAATGACTGTAAATAGTAATTGTTTCTGTTTTGGCCAGAAACCCTGAAAGTCTTCCCCTTCCAGATCGATTTTTTTTTGACTAGATAAAAGTGGCCATTCTTTGCCTCATTTCTTATCTAGCCTTAATCAATGAGTCAAATTGAGACTTGTTAAACACCTTAACTTAAAAAGGCCAAGGTCTCCCACTGCATCTAGGGCCATCTCTAGTCTTCCTGATCTATATCTTGTCACTGGACCCAGATTGCTCCTGAGGAGAAAGTGAGGCTAGTGACTTTGCACAGCCTCCCCTCTCTTAAATCCAATTCATTTGCATGTCATGGAATCACCTTCCTGATGTCATGGTCCTCTTCAAGAATGAAAGACAAACAACCAGAAGCTGATGTGTAAATTTCAAATTTTTTGAGTTTCAGAATTAGCTTCAATTTTATTTTCTATTTCAGTTAGTATTGGTACTGGAAAAAATGTGAAACTTTTGTCACCACAAAAAAGGAAATGCAATATAATTCGTTAAGAAATCCTGTTGTTTCAGTCCCATCCAATTCTTTGTGACACCATTTGGGGTTTTCTTGGCAAAGATGCTGGAGTGGTTGGTCATTTCCTTCTCCAGATTATTTTACAGATGAGGAAACTGAGGCAAACAGGGTTAAGTGATTTGCCCAGGGTCACATAGGTAGTAAGTGTCTGAGGCCACATTTGAACTCAGGTCCTCCTGCCTTCAGGGCCAGGACTCTGTCCACTTTGCCACCTAGCTGTTCCAAGAAATCTTCACTGTTGCGTGTTTGCACTTGAATGATTATTTACACTTACACAATATTTTATAGTTTATTAAGGGCTCTCTGTATGCAACTCTCTGAAGTAGGTAAAGGTTTTATTTAACAAAGTCATGAGATGTTTTCCCTTTATTTTCTAGATAAAAGAAAAGTAAAATTCTATTTTGGGTCAGCTAGGTTATATAGTGGGTTAGAGTACTGAGCCTGGGTTAAAATCTAGCCTCAAATACTTCCCAGTTGTGTGACCCTGGGCAAGTCACTTAATCCTGTTTGTCTCAGTTTCCTCATCTGTAAAATGAGCTGGAGAAGGAAATGGCAAACTAGATACCACCCTGGTATCTTTGCCAAGAAAACCCCAAATGGGATCACAAAGATTTGGACACAACTGAACAACAACAACAAAATCCTATTTTAATCGATATATCAAATTTGGAAAAATGTGGAACTCAAATATCTTTCATCTTAAAATTATCTACCCAACAGGGAGAGTGGAGCAGGCCAAGCTCTACAGTCCCATATTCAGATAACTATCACTGGAACTGAGGGTTCAGGGACAGCATTCCTTGGGCCCTTGTTTAAGACTAGACTGATAGATAGTATGTATAGCAACAATAAACTTGTAGGAGAATGATGCTTTAGCACCCTAAATGTTAATCAGAGGTCCACAGATTATCTGGCTTTTGTTTTTTAAATACTGAGTCTCCTTTTCTTGTCCATGTTGGAAGTGCAGGGACTACTCCTTGGCTTTATACCACTCTGGCTTGGGATCCTTGACATGCTCTGTTTCAAACTTGGGCCAATTTGCCCCTCTTTAGGTAACCTAGTATCCCCCTGATCTGGATATTTACCATATTATTATGATCAGCTTATTACACAGCAGCTCAGAATTATCAAACTTAAAAGATCCACAGCCTTTCTAATAGCTGGTATTACAAGACTTCACTGACACTCCCGTCTAGGAACTACGTGGCTTTGAGAGGCAATATAAAATTTTGCTAGGCATTTATTTGTTGAGGAAAGGAATTTAGTAAAGTTAAGGATCTCATCTAAAGAGATAGAATATCAAAGGATTTTGTTATAAGGGAAATCTCAGTGGTTTCACTGGAGTGGCTACCCTGTGCCCCTACAGATCAAGATAACAATCCCTCCAAATCTTAATATATGGTCTTCCTGAGCAGCTGTGGTCTCACAGATTTGCCATCTTGTGGCCAACCTTCTGGTAATGAATCTGTACTTAACCAGGCTGGTCCTCAGCTAAGAGTCACATAGTCCACTTCAAAGCTCCTGCCAAAAAAACAGGTAGGACTTAGCAAGTCCCATCAGAGATCTTGTTTTCCTGGCATAACCTTCTAGATAAGTTCCCCACCCCTGCTGTGCTGCGTCTAGAGGCAGCTAGATGGCTCAGTGGATACAGATCCGGGTCTGACGTCAGGAAGACCTGAGTTCAAATTCAGCCTCAGACATTTATTAGCTGTGTGATTCTGGGCAAGTCACTTAATCCTGTTTACTTCCTCCAGTTTCTTCATCTGTAAAATGAGCTTGGAGAATAAAAAGGCAAATTACTCCAGTATCTTTGCCAAGAAAACCCCAAATGGGGACACAAAGATTCAGACATGAGTGACTGAAAAATATGTGTGTATATACACATATGTATGTGTATATATACAACACATAAATTTTATTTTTTTCAAATATCAGAGATGCCTTTTTCCGCCCCTCTCACCACTAGAAGCTTATTCTATTATCACTAGTCAGTTTGGCTTAGTGGACTAAGGGCTGGCCATGAAGTTAGGAAACCTGCTTTTGTTAGACCCTGAGTCACCAGCGAATCTCAAAATTACAAATTATGGATGTTTTCACATTGACAAAATTACATGCCCTTGATTTATAATAATAATGATAATTATTATCATTATTTGCTGCCATGTCATAGAAAAGAAAGGAATATAAAAAGCCTTAATTTTACCTACAAATCCTTCATTTCAGTTTCATATGTGGGTCTTCAAAGTTACCAGAAAGTTCTTTCGACTCTCTCATTCTTTCCCAGAGAAGAAAATGACGCTCAGTAATCTGAAGTCTTGGCAGCCTCCTTCTCCTCCCACCCTGGTCGCCACCGCCCTCCATCCCCATCCATCCCCATCCATCCCCATCCATCCCTGCACACTGAGCCTATCTCCAAGTACGCGGCAGGTCTGGGACAGAGCCCACGCTCAATGAAGAACTTCTCTCGGAAATACACTTTATCCCAAACTCTGTGAACTTGCCTGTTAGGCAGGAGCACCGGTTCGTCCTTCTTTCTCCTTCTCTTTCCTTAAGGAAGGGACATGAGTGGGATGGAAGACGCTGCAGGAGCCCTTGGGATCGCAAGCCTCCTTGTCTCCCCCTCCCTCTTGTCCTGATGCAAGCGAGTGGCCGCCCGGAGACAGCTGCAGCAGTCACTCTGGGCTAGCTCTCCTGGTCTGCGGAAGTTGGGGTTACAGATGACCACACCCCCAGAACGAGGGACTGATTGTTTAACCCTTGAAATGGGCTGGTCCCCTTTGCTAATCCGCTAATACTTGCAGCCACTTTATGCTACAGGGACCGCTCAGGGGCCACTGAACAAAGTGATTTGTGTTCTTGGCAGAAACTGAGTTTTCACCCCATTCTGAGTGATCCGCCTTGTATCAAGCTCACAAGAAGGAAAGGTGGAACACGAAAGGACATTGAAGATCATCTAGTCCAACACAGGGCAAGCATAGATGGGGAAGGGCTGCTAGGTGGTACGCTGGAATGGGCACCAGGAAGGCTCATCTTGTGTTCAAATCCGGCCTCAGACACTTACTAGCTGTGTGGCCCCGGGCAGGCTATTTAACCCTGTTTGCCTCAGTTTCCTCATCTGTCAAGCGAGCTGGAGAAGGAAATGGCAAACCACTCCAGTATCTTTGCAAAGAAAATTCCAAATGGGGTCCCGAAGAGTCGGATACAACTGAACAACAACAATGGAGGGGGAAAGGGAGAAAAGAAGGAAGAGAGGAAATTTTTTAAAAGGACTATGTGAATTTTTATCCCTAAATCTTAAGTCTTTACACTTGTCAAATACAAGGTTATTATGTTTGTTTGCTGCAGTAAATTGTAAAACTCTATTCCATTGACCTACCTTTCTATTTCTTGTCCAGTACCGGATAGTTCTGATAATTACTGCTTTGTAGTACAATTTAAGATCTGGTACTGCTAAACCTCTTGCCTTTATACTTTTTATTTCGTTATTTCCTTTGATATTCTTGACTTTTTATTTTTCCAAACGAACTTTGTTATTATTTTTTTTCTAATTCAGTAAAATAATTTTTTTGGTAATTTAATTGGGATACATAATTGTTGAATACACAAGTTAGTTTGTATAAAATTGTCGTTTTTATTATATTGGCCCTGCCTACCTATGAACAATTGATATCTCTCCAATTATTTAAATCAGATTTTATTTGCATAAAAAGTTTTTTTATAGTTTTGTTTATATAGTTCCTGGGATTGTTTTGGCATTTGTACTCCCAGGTATTTTGTACTGTCTAGAGTTATTTTAAATAGTAACCATGGTGGGGTAGGAAGGAAGAGGAAAAATTTACATGATAATTTTTTTGCATATTTGAAAGGAATAGCAAATTGTGCATAGTAGATTAGCAGTTTCATGTATGATCATCTTTTTTTTATTGTACTATGTTATGAAAATGCTTGTTTTATTCCAAAAATTAAAAATAAATTAAAAGGGCTATGTGGAAGGATTTTAGAAGAACTTTTACATATTTCATAGCTTTGCTTAAGGCCAACATTGATTAGACTGTAACTGACAGGCAGGAATGATACCTACTTTTGATGAGAGATTCTCAAAATCTTTTTGTTTTCTCTCCTATCTACTATTAACAGAGGAGTTTTCTTTTTGTAGTCATAAGTGAGCTGCTCCCCCTGTCTTCTGTTGGGGACTGTCCTTGTGTAGCTCAAAGGGAGACAAGTTACCATAGTTAATCATATAAATGAAAAAGTGATTTTTCTGAATGGAGCACTGACCATGGAATGTTGGTAAATGAATTTTTAAATTTATGCATTAAAATATGGGGAAATGGTAGAAAACAACTAACAACATGTTTGAACTTTGGAATCCTTGGGTGAGAAAGTTCAAATCAGATACTTTAGAACAGTGTATGAAATTCAATTCTAAAGTGATCCCTGCAGGCTTAGATCCCTATTGACTTAGAAAACCACAAATTAACATCATCTGTTTTGTATTTTTAGATCAGAGAATTTCAGTGCTATATGAGCTTTAAAGATCATCTAGCCTTGTGCTGTCACACTCTAATAGAAAAAGAGGCCACCAAACCATGCATAAGGAGCCATGAGGGTTGCATGTTGACTTAGAAAACCACATATTATCTATGTTCTGTTGTATTTTTATTTATTTTATTACATGTTTTCCAATTACATTTAATCTGGGAGTGTGGCCACAAGACCAGCAGCCAGTGTGTTATTACACCTCTGATCTAGCCCAATTACTCTTTTACTTAGAAACTGAGGCTCATAGAAAAATGACTTGTCCAAAAATCACACAGCTAGTAAATAGCAGAGCCAAGATTCACATTTATGTTTTTTCATTACACTGAACTGCCTTCTTTACAACTAGACTTAGGATCTAAAACCTTAAGTTATCATAAAGAATTAAAAATTCATCTCTTTTTTGTTTTTTACTAAACTTAATTTTTTCGTACTTGATAAAATAGGGAATAAATTTTATACACAGTGGAAAAAGCATGGAACTAGGAACCAGTAGATTTGGTATATAGTCTTGGTTTTGTTACTAATTTGTAATGACCTTGAGCAGGTCAAATTCTCTGGGTTTCAATTTCCTCACATATAAAATGGGAAGTTTGGGTCAGGTGATCTTTGAGCTGCTTTCCAGCATTGAAATGCTATGATTCTATGTTTTAGCATGTGGTCCCTTACCCTGTTGCAAGACAGTAATAGTAATAGTAGTAGTAGTAGTAGTAGTGGTAGCAGTAGTAATGGCAGTAGTAGTAATAGTGGTAGAAGTAGTAGTAGTAGTAGTAGTAGTAGTAGTAGTGGTAGAAGTAGTAGTAGTAGTAGTTGTAGAAGTAGTAAACATTTATATATTAGGCATGTGCTAAGGGCTTTAGAGATGTTATCTTATCTGATGGTCTTCTACTGACTTCCTCAGGCTTGACTCACTGGCTCCCACTACTGGTCTTTTGGTTATCATTTTCACTCTAGGTTCCCCTAAATCAGTTTTGCCATATTATACCACGTCCCATATGTTAACATGTGTCCAATGTAACATGCTTGAAATATATCAATGTAACATGATTATATGTTACACACTACAGGTTTACACACGTTATATTCAAGAGAAGGATTTCAACTTTTCTGCTATCCTGTTTTTTGTAATGAGCAATATTCAGATTTTTAAAAGGTTTTCACCATTGTTCATATCATGGAAAACTAAAAGTGTCTTAGTTTATTTATCTATAAAATGGAGATAATGAATAGCACTTAGTTCATAGGGTTGTTGTGAGACTCAAATGAGTTAGCATATGTAGTGTGCTTTGCAAATCTTAAAGCACCATAAAAATGTCATTATTATTAATGGGATTAAAATAGCTAACAAATTTAAGTGTTACTAAGTTATAGAAGTTTTAATTAACCCTATTTTTTCATACCAATGGAATAAGAACCAGACTTCTCAGCTTCCTGTTTTCCATCCCCATTTCCTGACAGGTCCCCTATTTTCTAACCTGGCCTCAAACACTTAATAGCTGTGTGACCTGGACAAGTCTTTTAACCTCTGTTTGCCTCATTTTCTCAAATGTATAATGAGGATGATAATAACAGCACTTACCTTGTGAAGCTGCTGTGAGGATCAAATGAGATATCTGTAAAGTGCTTAGTACAGTGTGAGGCACATGCTGCTGCTGCTGTTTGTCCTTTGTTCTTGAAGAGGACCGTGACATCAGGGAGGCGATGCCATGACTTGCAAGTGAACTGGATTTAAGCGAGGGAGGGCTGTGCAGTCACCAGCCTCACTTTCTCCTCCAGAGCCATCTGGGTCCAGTGGTGTGATATAGATCAGGACAACTGCAGATGGACCAGAATGTAGTGGGAGATCTTGGTCTTTTTTTTTCCTCGTGAGGCAACTGGGGTTGTGACTTGTCACACAGGTAGTGAGTATTATGTGTCTGAGCTCACACTTGAACTCAGGTCCTCCTGACTCCAGGGCTAGTGCTCTATCCACTGTACCACCTAGCTGCCCCATCTTTGGCCTTGTTAAGTTAAGGTCTTTAACAGGACATAGTAGGCATGATATAAATATTTATTCTTTTCCCTTCCCCACTTCCTCTTCCCTTTCAGTTCCTGTCTTTATGTCAGCCTTGATCAAGATTTATATTTCATTTCTTTTCTTTTTTGTTCTTGGAATAAGGTTCTCCTAAATTTCCCTTCACCTTGGAGAAAATGATCATCTTGCTTTGAATGCTATCTCTACCTTACCTGCCTCCCACTTTAGTTAAGAAGGTCCTAAAATCACAGGCTGTATTGGTGGAAGGGAACATAGCCATTTAATTCTACTTTCTCATTATATATGCAAGAGTGGGTGGTGCGTGGGCTATATGTACACTTGATAAGTGTGCGAAGTGATACTTAGGATACTGCCCTAATGCAAAAAATGCATTTCAACTCAGATCCTGTTTTAGAAATGTAATATGATTTGTCCACCAGGTGGTGCTAGACTCAAGCTATCAGACATTCAGTTCTTATCTTTTAGTACACTTCTGCCCACCTCTCTGGGACATATACATGAGTCTTCCCAAAGGTAATAGGATCCCCATTACCCTCCAGAAGACACTCATCCTATAAACTCTTAAAGTACTTCCCTTACAATCACCCTGAGTTCTATACAGTTCCTTAGGACACAGGGGATGCTACCCTAGATTCAATAATTATCTAAGGGTATGAAAACGAAATATTACTCCAAATTATTGCAAAATTGTAGGAGAATCTCTATGTAACCCAGGTTTCTAGACAATTCTGGGGCTCTCCTAAATGGGAGGAAGAATGCTTATCCTATGCTGGATGCCTATATGAGAGGCAGAATTGATATGAGAGCTTTGGAGATAAGGCATTTTTCCTTGAGACACACAGGGTTCATGGGAAGGAGATAAAAAGGTGTGTGTGTGTGTGTGTGTGTGCTCATGAGCACTTGTGTGCACAATGGACCCCAACCTATCTTTCCAGCCTCAGTGGAGATCACACATTGTCCCAAGCTCTGTAGTGTAGCTAAACTATACATGCACGCACACACACCCCCGCCCTTCTTTCCTTATCTCCTTCAAAAATCCATCTCCCTGCCGGGCCTAAGTATTCTTTCATACATATTCTTCTCAGATGTCAGTTCTCAGCACTTCCAAGGACTGCTTCTGATTACAGTAGGTAGAGGCTCAGGCTGACCCACTGCCAAACCAAGCAGTCCAATTCAAAAGCCTACTGCAAAAAACCTGGGAAGACTCATAGGAATTTATGCAAAGTCAAGAGAGCAGAACCAAGAGAACATTGTATGCAGTAAGAGCACTATTGTGAGGACAGTCAACAGTGAGACCTAGCTACTCCAAAGGGTCCGTGATGAAAAATGCCACCCACCTACAGAGAACGGATGAACTCTCAACGCAGATTGAAGCGTACTTTTTAACTTTATTTTTCTTGTTGTCTTGGTCTGTGTTTTCTTTTACAGCATGGCTAATATGGAAATGTTTTGTATGACTTTACATGTGTAATTGATATCAAATTGCTTGCCTTCTCAAGGAGTGGGGGAAGGGCAGAAGTTGGAACTCAAAATTTAAAAAAAGACTGTTAAAATTTTTTACATGTAATTAGGAAATATCTAATGAGATTATATGTATATGTATGTTTTTGGCTAGGCAATGGGGTTAAGAGACTTGCCCAGGGTCACATAGCTAGTAAGTGTTATGTGTCTAAGGCTGGATTTGAACTCAGGTCCTCCTGACTCCAGGGCCACTGCTCTATTCACTGCGCCACCTAGCTGCTCCAAGATAAAACATATTTTAAAAAATAAAATACAAATACCTGGCAAAAAAAAAGCCTACTGCCTCTTGATTGTCTTTTGGACACGTAAGCTTAAGTCCACCTTCAGTATCTCTAGAGGCTTCGAAGGCCCAAATAGAATGTCAAATCTGAAATCCTTCCAAGGGCAGAGGAGGAGGAAATAGGAACCTCTATTTGGCCAATGTCTTACATTTCTTCCTGCCAGGACTTCTGGTGGCCCTCTCTGTACCTTACAGGGTAAAATACAATTGAAGAAACACCTAATACATTCATATAAAAAAATAGAAGTTTAGAAAGGGGAAGTGGCTTGCTTAGATCACATGGGTTGTGGATATAATGCTGGGATTCAAAACTAGGCCCTCTGATTCCAAATTCAGGGCTCTTTCCACAGTGATTCTTCTTAGGCAGTTTCTCCACAGATATCCTATGTTCTTTTAATTATAATGTACTGCTTTATTTTTAGGTAGTCTCCAAAGGGATAATACATTCCTAGAACAGGACTGCAAATATTCGGTGACAAAATTTTGCTAGTACTGGAACACGAGGTGTGCTTTAGAGTGTGGGAACATTAAGCATACTATAGGACATGTATGAATAAGAAGAATTTTACAATATTGTTTCTCAACACTTAGCACATTGTTGGAGCTCCATAATTGTCCCCAGCTTCCCATCCCAATCTACTTAGAAATGACAAAGAAAGGAAAAGATGCCTTAAATCATCAGCCGTTTGAAATTAAGGCAGATTTATAACCCACTCATAGTGCTACATGATTCAGGATCATAGAATCACAGATTTGAAAAGGATCTTGGAGGTCATCCAGTCCAAGCTTTCCTCTGTACAACATCCCTGAATAGTTGTCTTCTATCTCTGCTTAAACCTTTCCTGGTCATCCTCACCTCTGGATATATATATATATATATACCTGGCCTTCAGAGCCGCGAAGGTGGAAGGGACCCAGAGACAGTCTAGTCTCTGAATACACTTGAACATTAATCTCAGCAATAAACCAGACAGCCTGTCTGAAGCCATCGAACAGGAGAATATCCATTGTCTTTTCTCCTTCTAGGATCAGCTTTCTACCAATCAGGGTGGGAAGGTAGTACAGTGGGCTACCACCCCGAGTTTATAGGCTGCAGGCCTCAATTACCTGCTTGTCTTAAATCAACAAAAGTCAATTAGCATTTGTTAATCCCTTATAATATGCCAGGAACTATGTTAATCACTGTGGGTACAAAAACAAACAAAAGGACAGTCCCTGCCCTCAAACTGTTCATTCTCAGTGACTTTTGGGGCTTTTTGTAATTAGTCTCTATCCTACACTAGAAAAAAAGATCCCTATTATTCCTTAAAATAAATGAGTCCTCTCCTATAACCAGACCAGTCCCCACTCCAAGTCTTTGTTTATTGTAGTCCCACTTTTTTGGAAAACCATTCTCCCATTCTCTCCAACTTTTTTTTTTTTTGGCTTTTTGGTGAGGCAATTGAGGTTAAGTGACTTGCCCAGGGTCACACAGCTAGTAAGTGTCAAGTGTTTGAGGCCAGATTTGAACTCAGTCCTTCTGACTCCAGGGCCAGTGCTCCATCCACTGTGCCACCTCGCTGCCCCTGATAGTTATGTGATCTCATACTATTATTTCACATATATATTTTATCTCCCATGTGTAGGTTCCATGGAAATCCACACTGCCCATCAGAAGAGACTCATCCTACAAACTCTTAGATTATGGCATGTGTATGCCATCTCCCAAAAGGATCACCTGGAAGTTCTGCATGAGCAGTCTTGGTTTCACTGACGTAGGGAACTTCTAAATAAGGAAACGTCCTTTACCAATTCAGGCTGTCATCTTAAGAGCTGTTAGAAAGCTGAGAAGCAGTGTGGCAGGCTAGACAGAGATGGTCTGGAGCCCAAGAGATTTGGGTTTAAGTTCTACTGTAATAGGTCACCTTGGGGAAATAGTTTAGTTTAACTTTTTTAGCAGCGTAAGCCAGGGGTACCAAACTCAAACACAAAAGGCCTTTAAACCGTACACAAGGATCCCTGCAGGCTGTATATTGACTTAGAAAACCACATATTAACATGATCTATATTCTTTTGTGTTATATTTTGTTAAATATATTTTAATTACATTTTAATCTAGTTTTAGCCATTCTCAGGAGTGTTGCTGGACAGGATGCCAATGGCCCAGTGTTTGACACTTCTGCTCTAAGAAACTCTCTAATACTTTTTTATGCTTTACAAAATCAAAGAATTTTAGATTTGGAAAGGATCTCACTGGCTACCTAGTTTAACCTTTACCTGAAAAAGAATCCCCACCTCCCTCAACCTACATACCAACCTTTGCTTGAAGAGAGGAGAAACTACCTACCAAAGTACCCCTTTTCACTTTTGGATAGCTCTATTAAGATTATTCTTTATATATAGCAGGTATTAATGTATAACAATACATTATCATTTATATATTTAAATCTACATATATATTTTGTTTTATATCTATATACTTCTACCCTTTTGAAAGGGGACAACAAGCAAAGGAGGGATAAGAACATATGTGGATGATAAGGTTGGAAAATTGTACTCCCTGTTATAATGGTCCAGTTTTGAGCCAGTAGTATATATGTCACCTGACTTACTGTAAGATAAATGTCCACTTGCCATGGAAAGCAGAATTTTCTGCCATAGGTTGACCATGATTCACAATCTATTGGCTTGTAAAGGGTTTGTGATCCACATGTGTGGGTGGAATACCTACACAATCTTAACATCAGCTATATCCCTTGAAGTACTTCTCCCCACTGTTACTGAGCAGTGTCTAATTTAAGAAAAATCACACAGATAAACAAGACTTTTCAATTGAATAGTGGAACAGGTGGTCCAGAGAAATTATTTCCACTTAAAATTTAAAAAATCTTGGTTACGGAATAAATGCAAAAGGAATTTTAGTGAGCAACAGAAAATTAGGACTGCAGCAACATAAACAATGTAGAAAAAAGCAAGGGGCCTTGGCTTAAAAGTAGCCAAGAGTTTTTGGTTCTAATTATTTTCTCCAAAATAGGTCTAGTTACTAAGTAAGATATGGAAAATACTGAAAATAGACACAAGGCAAGTTTAGCCTTATAACGAACAGATACCTATCACAAAGTAGGGTTTAAATTAGGCAAGGTCTGAGATCCAGATCCCTTTTAAATAAACCAACAAATATTTACTGGGGTCTACTAGGTATAAGGCATTGAGTTAGGCACTATGGAACCCACTTAAGTAACTAAGAGGTTAGATAAAACATACTTCAAGCCACTTCTCCCCCCCAAAAAAAACCCAAACCCAAACCAACTCAAACCTAAAAATGCATGGCTTACTAACAGTAACTATCAAATGAGTGATACAAAGATCACTGTACACTAGGGAGTGTGTTAGGGAAGGCTTCAATTGAAGTAAGGTTTCAAACGGACTCTTATTTGAATAGGTGAAAAATGAAGGGTATTGTAGGAAAAATGCTGAGCAAAGGTAGAGAGGTGGGAAAATTCAAAGCTTGTTCGGGGACAGTAAGAGACTCAACTCAGCTAGAAACGGACTTCTGAATGGTAGAATAGCAAAAGAAGCTTCAGCTATCAGTGGAAATAAATGCAGATTTGGAGACAATAGCTCCTCCACCAAGGCTTTTGCAAGAGGAAAATAAAATTTAAAAAGGTAAATTAGATCCAGTTTGTAGAGGGTCTTGATTGCCAGGCTAATAAATTTATATTTTATCCTGTGGGGTATTAGGGAGGAAAAAGAGTAAAAGCATAAACAAAACAGTACGCCACTCTTTAAAAAAGTCTATATTCCACGAATTGGCTTCTAATATTTAAATTTTTTTTTTTTTAAAGTTTCAAATTATGTGTCAGGAATGAGTGAAGATAATTTTAAAAAGTGTTTATTTTACATGACACTGGCACAATCCTTTGGAAATAATATCTGTTTAATTCAGAAGAAGTTCCTGCCTGTTGCAAACTAAACAAAAAAAAGGCCACTAAATCATATTCATATATTAATTTGTTTTAATTTTTCCAAAACAATATTCAAAGGATCTGCTTTGTTTCATTCAAACTATAAATGTTAAACATTTACAAACTAAAACAGGAACTGACAATACACAAGGATTTAAACAAACAAATCTTTCAAAGAATAGTTTTTAAAAATTGTTTTTCAGTTCATTGTATTCAAAGTTTAATATCAAGCTTTGGGTGACCTTTTTGAATCACACATCACTACCACTCCTTCTTTTAACATACAAATGTTTAGATTTTATCAGCAAAACAATATTTTAAGATGTTTACTTCACAAGTTGATGTTTTAGCATATAAACTTGTATACTAAATCCCTTTCCATTGACTACTTAAAAAAATATATACAACTATGAATGTTTAAATATGCATCCTGTGCCATGGGTCCAAGCAAACATCTGGGAATTTTCAAACTATTAGAGTAAGTTGAAAGGATGAAAGAACTGGCTTCAAATTTTTCTTTACGACTCAACAGATCAAGCATTTTTAATGGGAGGAAGAAAAAACCGTTCAATTAGCATGTGCCTCTATATAGAGAGATGTGTATTTTCTAATATACATACACACACACACACAAGTCAAGAAAGTAAACAAACACCAAAAATTAATTTATTAGCTTAAATATTTTGTGGACCAAGTCTTGACTTATAAGTACTTTAAATTTTGTTGTTCTCCAAATATAATAGAAGGAAAAATGCTGGTTTCACAAAATTCAGTATATTTCAGTATTTTAGACAATTATCTTTTTTAGGGGCACAGATTAAATGATTCTGGTCTTATGACAAACCTGAAATATCTGGTACCTTCCTGCTCCATATATATATATATATACACACACACATACATACATATACTGCCTAATAAAACATCTGAAGGACAGGACAGAGCGGAGTAGCAGTATGAAAAGGACCTATTAAAGTACACCTATGCTTTTGTGTCAATTGCATTAATATTATGCATAGGATATTCACTAAGTTGAAATCAAATCCAAATCAAGTCTAAATATCTGCACCACACTTCTCATGAACAAATCTACAACTTTAGATCTTTGTCCAAATCTTGTTATGTGCAGTTCTGTTTTGCCTTGAAAAATCTTAACTTTAAGGATTTAAATCATGCAAGATTCATTTTGCAAATGCTGTTGTTATGTTGTGGGACTTAAAGTTAACCACAACAGCAACTTTTTCCCCTATTAGAAAAAAAGAAAAACTTGCTGGAAATGTGTTTGTATTAAAAAAGCTCTCAGAATTACGAACTGGCAATTTCTGGTCAATGATGGTAACTGACTGACTAGAAATGCTGTTCAATTAGTACTCTTTAGTATCAAATGCCACAGGGATTCAACAATTACATTTCTGATACAGCACTCATTTTCATACAGGGTCACAGGGGAACAAAAAACTTTTTTTGACGTCAGAAAAATGTTTTAACTATTTGTAGAATTTTTGGCTGAGCATTATAGACACAGCAAAACGATCCTATTCTAGGACAGAGCAAACTAATCTTAATGAGAGTTTTGATTTACACAAAATAAGGATATTTTTCTGTTTCAAAGAAAAATGCCCTTCGTAGCTCAATAAAAGTATGTGATACAGCATCTATTAAAAGTTGAAACCAATGCAAACCACTTATTGGGATGAAAAAATAACACATAAAAAACACTTTGAACCCTTTCTGTCACTGTTTCACGACCAATAACCAAATATAAACAATTGTGACTCCAGTTCTAAGTTCAAGGGGAAAAAAGTATCATTGCCTAACACTCACTAAATGTACAGCATTGTGTAATGCTAACAATGAAAATGTCAAACTAGATTTTAAATAGCTCAAAGAATTACAATAACTTGATATCTAAAATCAAGGTAACCACAGATGGAGAAAGTCAGTCATTATTAAAGGCAAAAGAATATGCTAATATAGAAATTGTGATGTTTGTGGCAGTAATCAGAAATTCTCTCTAACTACAGCTCTAATATCTCTCAGTGTTGTCAACCAAAATCTCTAAGGTTTCAATTCTACAATTACTGAAAAACTCACTGCTTTTATAAACTACAGAATGAGTATAAAACCTGCTACTTTACAGGCAATTGAAGAATAACAATTTGTACCATGATATGTCAACTCAAAACTGAATCAAAATTATGTAACTACGGCAGACTTTTTTAATAACAAATCAAAAGTGCAGTACAGGGCTTAGTCTACAGTTCATCACATTGGTTTAAAAAACAAAAATTCATGCCTAAATTATTAAAAGGGCTATTTTCTTCCTCCATACCATAACTTATCTTTAAAGCAACCTAAGGAATTAAAACATCAGTTCCCTATGACAGAAGTAGTCTCACCAATTAAAAAGAATCAACATGACAAAGTTTAGAGCGATAAGAGTGAATACAAACAACTGTGGAAAGGGTAGAACATTTGTGTTGGATACTTAACATGAAAAGCCTCAAACAAGTTCTGAAGTTTTTCAATTTTTTTCAAATAAAAAGGTGTCCTTTCCCATGGTTAGGGATATATGTTGCATTCCCCCCCACAACAAATGTAAGGGGGTAAAGAGGCTTTTAAAATATTGCCAATATTAAGTTCTTCGGTACCTACTATTAATTGGAAAACAGCAACATTACAGATGTATAGTGGATCAATTCTCAAAACACTAGTTATGATCCAACACGGGTTGTAGTGGTTCTTTTATCGGAGAAAAAACTTTTCAGAAGAAATACTTGCCCTATGCTAACAACAAGAAGAATAATGGCTTCTCCAATTGACCAATAGGCCACTCTTGTATTTAGATCCTCTGCCCGGCTGCGTCCTTGAGCTTCTCTTAGTCGGAAATGAGTCTGGTAGTCGATGACAGACTTCAAAGCTTCGTGAATTGAAACACAAGCAGATTCCATCTAGGTAGAAACATTCTGAGTTAGCCTTGCTAATAGTTTACTTTCCTATATACTTCTTTTTAGGAGGAAAAGTTTTTCTTTTTCATTTATCCTAAAAATGATAATCTTTGTATCATTTTTAGTAAATTCTATTCTTGCCAAAGAAATGATATCTTACTGAATATCCTGGGAGAGGCACTGTAATGTAGTTTGAAGTCAGGAAGTATTAAATATCATTTCTGACACCAGTATGTTACCAAAGGGAGATTATCTGTCCTCTCTAAGTTTCAATTTCTTTATCTGTAAAACTGGAATATGTATATTAACTACCTCTCAAGGTTCTTATGGCGACCAAACAAAATGTTCATCACTCCAAAACTCCAGCTATGATTGTATACTGAGACATTTAATTTTTAAGTTAAACACAAGTTTCCCCAAATTATAGACAACCACTTTCTTCCACTGCAGCCAACATCACCTGTTCATCCCTGGTTTCTGAAGAGGACCAATGATATTATGGGGGCAATGTCTTGACTTCCATGTGAGTTGGATTTAAGTGAGGCAAAGCTGAGAACCTTCCAGGTTCCTGCTTTGTTCCTACTATGACTGATGCTAGACTCCAAAGTGATAATGAGCGCTGGCAGCAACTGACACACCACATGGGCTGTACAGGTAAGCTGTAGTACTGACTCTGGCTGCAGTGCTACACCCCTTACGAAGTAGGCGGTTGCAGCATGCTACCTACTGGGGCTTCAAGATGGGACAGGAAACATGGGAGCGTCAGCCTGGGAGAACATGAAGCTAGAGAGAGTTAAAACTGAAAGCCTACTTTTATGGGGAAAACTTGGGAGTAACATACTCTGGCTCAACTTCAGCAATGCATGCTCAGAGAGAACAAGCTAATACCTTACTGAATTCTTTGTTGTTTATTTAAACATGATAAAAATGAAACATGTTAATTTTGGAAGCCGAAGGTACTAGATATAAAGAATTTTACTTTACAGTAAATCTGCTAATTTTTTCTCTTCTCATGATTGCTGATCAAATTAATGCCCCTTTTCTTGATAGGGTATAACTAACTTCACCATATTTACCCCTAGTTTAAGATAGTTGTTCTATTTTATTTAAAGAGAAATCAGAATCCTTAAGTTTTAGATTATTTCATATTTTGAAGAGTGAAATATGAATTTACAATGCATAGCATATTACCAGTGATTAACATTTCCCACTGTTTAAAAGTTTAATAGTGGTTGAATACAAAAATCTGTGTTACAATTCTATTTTTAGAATTTATCTTGTATTAGGGAACTTTATATATGTGTGGAAACTAAGTATTAAGAGAACTGTGCTTAGTGTTTTAATAATTTCATCAATAGATACTGGGTAAGAAATAATTTGAGTATGAAAATCACATAGCAAAGCAATGCAAGAGAATTATATAAAAATACTAAAATATAGAAACTAAGAACGTTTTTAAAAGTGTAAAGTTAGAGGTTATGCAAGCCATAGATTTTATTTATTTGAAAAGTTTTATCGATGCTTTTCTTTTTTTAATCAATTAATTTCTTTTTAGTTTTCAATATTCACTTCCACAAGATTTTGAGTTCCAAATTTTCCCCCCACCCCCCCCCACCGATGGCTTGCATTCTGAATACCCCTTCCCCTGATCTTCCCTCCTTTCTATCACCTTCCCCTGCCCCCCTTCTCTTATCCTGTAGGGCAGGATAGATTTCTATATCCCATTGCCTGTATATCTTATTTCCCAGTTGTATGTAAAAATCCATAGATTTTAAATATACATCATCACTTTCATGCCCGGAATGTACTCCCTCTTTACTTCTAGTGACAAGCACTTGTAGTTTCCCTCAAAATTCAATCAAATGCCATAATCTACATGAGTTTTTTCTTGATCTCCTACCTACTACTGCTCTCAAATTACCTTTTATTCTGTATATACTTATCTGTGTACAAGCTATCTCTTGATAGAATAAAAGTTCCTTGAGGGCAGGGATGATTTCCATTTTTTTTTTAAAATGTGTCCCAAGCACTTAATGCGTAATAGGCACTTAATAAATACTTGCTGATTATACATCCAATGTTATAGAAGTAACTTGGAATAATGGAATAGCTACGCTTGGAGTTAAGAAGACCTGGGTTCAAACCTGGCCTCCAACACTAGCTGTGAGACCCTGGCAAGTTACTTGGTCTCTATGAACCTATCTATTAAGTCACATTTGGGTTTTGATCTGTGTTGATGGAGGGAATTCCTGAAGCTAAGGAAATCACAGATCTTTTATTTGTGATTGCATTGATATAAATAGAAGCTGAATTTGAATAAGCTCAATCAAGTAGTAGTTTTGGATAGTAAATAAAATGAGCTTTTACCAATAGTAGGTTCATTTAATTTTTAAAAACTTCTGTATGGTGAAAACTTGGTAAAGCATCTATTTATATGCCAAACCTTGCATTAGGCAGAATGCGTTAAGAATTGGGTATTATATATATTATGTTTTTAAAATTTTCAATTTTTTAAAAATTACATGTAAAAATAATTCTTAACATTGTTTTAAAAAAATTTTGAGTTCCAAATTCTCTCCCTTCCTTCCCCCTCTTCCCTACAAGAAGGCAAGCAATTTGATATAGGTTATACATATGTAGTCATGCAAAACATAGTTCCATATTAGTCATTTTGTGAAAGAAAACATGAACAAAAAACCTCCAAGAAAAATAAAGAAAGTTTAAAAAAGTATTCTTCTATCTGCATTGAGACTCCATCAGTTCTTTCCCTGGAGGTGGACAGCTTTTTCATCATAAGACCTTAAGAATATTTTTTGTATTTCTAAAGACTGGCTCATAAAATGTATTATAAACACCTCTCCTCTTCCCTGGGAATTTACAAAGGAGGAAGTGATGTTAAAATGAAAACCCTTCAACTGAAATTTAAGTTTCTTTCCTCTGATATTTATTTCCCTATCCTGAAAGAGAACAGTGAAACTGGGGTGGAAATATCATACTTCTATTCTCATAATATTTCACCATATACTTTCTTTCCTAGTCTTTCCAACCTTTATGAGGTTCTGTTTCAGATCCTTTAATAACTTTAACTCCTCAGTATTTTGATTACATTACAAAGCACAGTAAGTAAAGATGGTTTCAGAGAAACCAAGAAGAACTTTACGAACTGATGCAGAATGAAGTGAGCAGAATCAGAACAATTTATACTCTTTTTTGGATAGGGTCAAGGTGGAAATTTGTTTTACTTGACTGTACAACTATTACTAGTGTTTTCTTTTTCTTTTCCCCAATGGGAACGTGGGAGGGGAGATGGGGGAGAGAGAGAGAGAGAGAAAAGACAAGTCTGTTAATTCAAAAATTTTTTTTTTAAATTGTAAGGCATAGTATTATGACAGCAGTCTGATTAATATTAAGTAGAATATAAAGATTATCTTTTATCTCCTACAGGTCATACTTGTACATTATCATTTCCGCCTTGCCTCAGGCCACCAAAGTGGTAGGTTCAGCATTTTTTTCATCAACTATATCCCCCCAGAATTCTGGGGGAGTATGTGTGTGTGTGTTTTTATCGTGCACTGCTATTGTTTCTTCTTAATGTCTTTTTAAAACAAAAGTATTCATGCAGAGTATTATTATTATTATCATATTGATGACATATATTTGCTTTTACCTGTGTAAGAGCACTGACTCTGTTCTCACTGGGGAACAATGGTGGATCTTCTCCAACTTGAAAGTCAAAGTACACAGTTTTGTGTGTGAAAGTAGAGAACTCATTGCTGAAACAAAATTTGTATGTTCCATTTCTGGATGCAGTGAAGGTAAAACTATCATACTGTTTCTTCATTTCTTTGTATAACACCACACCATCAGGATCTTCCAACCGGCAATCTACATCATAATGACCACCAGTAATCACCTGTAGAAAGAAAAACACTGAAAAGTTTGGGGTAAAACAAAAATGAAAGACATTAACCAATTTTCCTGTTATAATGCTAAAATGAAAGTGCCAGAAGTCATTTAATATGGCAGATAATACCATATTCTAGTATTTCTATTAATGAGTCTTAACCAAGAAGCAAATTCTGATTCAAAAATAAAAAAGAACAAGTATAGTTGTTCAATAATGAAACGAGTTCTCTCATGAGGTAAGTTTCCTACAACTGGAGGTATTCAAAAGGAAGCTAGATGACTGTTTTTTGTGCTACTGAAAGGACTCCTGTACTGGTGGGAAGCTAAACCAGATGACCTCTAATGTTACCTTTCCAAATAACTTGAAGACTACAATTTTGGAGTAAATACAGAGGAATAACAGGAGAAAGGTCAGAAAAGTAAAATGGTACCACATAGTAGAGGGCCTCGAATGCTAGTCAAAGGAGTCTGAAATTTACCTCATTGGCAATAGAAAACCACTAGATGAGTTTTCACTTCAAGGATTACATGGTTAGCTCTACAGATATGGAAGATTATTAATCTTGTATCACTGATTATGCTCAGGCTAGCCTCAGCCTTGAATCACTCCCACCATTCATCATCTTTGATTCTACACATGCACTGCTAAATGAAGGGGCATAAAAATCCTGAAATCCTGACTGGGTCCATTACAAATTTATGTTATACAACCTCAAAAGGACCCTCACTGCTGCTAGGTGGTCCTTCCATACCTCTCTTTATTAATTCATGATCCCACTCTCCACAGCAACTCTTCCAAACCTTTTTATCCCTCCTTAAGTCTTCAATGGTTCCCTTCTTCCCCCCATCCTGGATGAAAATTATGCCTCACATTTTATAGAAATAATTGAGATTATTCGCCACAAACTCTCCCTTCTCTCCTCTTCTCCATCTCATCATTCAGATACCTTCTGCCACTCCCTCTTCATTACTGTCTCACATGATGAAGTGGCCTCATTCCTTACTGAAGCTAATCCCTCTACTTGTTCAAGAGATCTCATTCCAATTCTATCTCCTTCAACAGATTGCTTCCGTTATCCCCAATTTTTCACTTATTTTCAATCTCTCCCTTTCTACAGCTCATTTCCTACTGCCTACAAATGTGCCCATGTCTCCCCTATCCTGAAAAAAAACTTCACTTGATCCCTCCATCCCAGCTAACTATCATCCTATATATCTTTTTTGCCCTTTGTAGCTAAACTAGAAAAGGCCATCGACAATAGGGGTTTTCATTTGCTCACCTCTCACTCTCTTCTTAGAATTAAAGACAAGGATAAGGAGGTCTTTACTGACCTTGGAAATATTTTCCATAGAGTGGTAGGAACCTAAAAGCTAAATTACAAGGTCCTAGAAGAGGTGGAATAAAATGAGATCAACAAAATTTCGCTTTAGTAAGTATCAGGAGCTCCCTTCTTCTGAGACAGGAGGGGAGAAAGGAATTAGGAATGATTTTTAAAGTTATAATAAGAAACTGGTTAAGATTAATAGACTGGAATCTAGATTCAGAGAAAAGGGATCACTGAGGCCATCCTGTACAACATACACTTGAACAAAAATTCTCTATAACATATTCAAAAGTTACTTGTTTATACACCTAGAAGGTCATTACCTTCTGAGGCAGGCACTTTTTTCTTACCTCAATAGTCAATGTTTTCCAGTAATTTCCTCTCATTGTTCTTAGTTTTAAGAAAAAAATGTAATCTCTCTTTCACATGATTGCCTTTCAAATTCTTGAAGACAGCTATCATATCTCTTTTAAATCTTCTCTCCTCCAGGATAAACATTTCTATGTCCTTTAACCAATTTTTATGGAGTATAATCCCAAGGTTCTACATCATCCTAATGCCCTTAGTAGAAAAAGAGGCTAGGTCATGTGCCAACTTGTGAGGGGTTTCAGTGAGGTGTTGTGTTAAGCCATGTAATGTTAAGTGAAAAGTGGATCAAGGAAATAAAAGTGAGATGCTGCTGGGCAGCAGTGAGGATTCATTTGAAGGCATGTACTATAAATTTACTGTGGGTGACATCAAGTAGAAAAACCGGTTAGCAGGATTACCCAAACTTGTGGATTAGTAAATCCTCAGGACTAATGAAAACAACAAGGAGGTCAGAAAATCTAGCATAATAGTTACTGAATCAATTATTAATTCATATTAGAAATACATAAGAATGAAAGCAAACCATCAAGGCTTCATTGGAGGCAATAATGATGGAGACTTACATCTGTTTAACACTTTAAGGTTTGCCACATATTTTACATACATTACTCAAATGGAAGTGACCTCATCATTTTGGGAGTCCCCTACAATGATGCAGACTTGAAGACTACCCATGCCTGTTCTTCCTATGAGACTTTTGTTCATGTTATCCTAAAAAGTTTGCCAAAAGTTGCCAAAGTTTGCCAACACTTAAAAGTGTTGGAGGCTTTCCTTGCTTTCTCTCAACCAGGATTGAGAGGAGCATTCTGGCTTCCCTTTCTCTCTAAGTAACTAAAAAAAAAAAAAAAAAAAAAGCAA